TCACCCCCCCCGCCCCCGCTCTGCGAGGGCCTCCTAGCACTTCTGGCGAGGCCCAGAGGCAGAAGCCACGGCCCCACCTGCCCCCCAGGACCGAGGTCCAGGAGCCCCACCACCTCCCCTGCTCCAGGCTCTCAGCCCTGCCCCCGAGGGCTCCTCCCGGACAGCCCTGCACGCGTGGCCCACCCAGCACAGCAGGCAGCTCCCCACCCCCGGGCGCTACCCTGTGCCTTTTTGGGGTCCGCAGATTCCAGCACCTTCTTGCCCAACCTGCTCCTTTCACCCTCAGTGGAGGCCGCCCCTTGCCCACCTGCCACCTGCCCACCCAGCAGCTGCTGCCGCCCAGGAGCTTTGAGAGCCTGAGCTCCCCTGGCTGCTGCCCCCACAGCCCAGGGCCGCCAAAGCCCAGGCCTCCTCCTCCTCCAGAACAAATGCCCTGAGCCCTACACTACCCTGCTCTCTGCCTGCTCCCAGCTGGCCGGCTCCCCTCGGCCCCTCTCGCCTGCCCGGCCCTCCAGGGCTCCACCAGGCCCCTCCAGGCTACCCTGCACCCGTCACACGGCCTGGGCATCTGCTCCCGCTGGGCCCGGTGGGTGAGGGCACAGGCAGGGGTGCCGGGCAGGTGCCACATCTCCATGGCCCCAGGTCAGGTGCTCAGGAAACACGGTCACCCCTCAGACCCGGCCCCACCTGCCCTGACCACCTTCTCTCTCCTGTGGCCTCTCGGCAGGTCGACCAGGAGCCCCTTCATCCTGGACCAGAGCCCGTGGGCCCCAGGTGGTCCCAGCGCCGTCCCCAGACCAGGCGGCCGCTCCGAGCGCACTCAGCCCCGTGGCCTCCGCCAGCCCCCTTGCCCACGCTGCCCACGGATGTGTCTGGAGGGCCTCGCCATGTGCACGGAGCTGAGCCCCCGGTCGGGGTGGGGCAGACCCTCCGCCAGCTCCTGGCCCAGACCCGGCCCTCAGCCACGGCCGTCCACGTCCCCCCCCCGAAGGCCCGCAGCCCGAAGCAGGGAGGTCCTGTGGGTCCCGGTCCGGGCGCACAGGCCAGCTACCTACCCAGGAACTCCTGCTTCTCGCTGTCGGAGCCCAGGCCGTAGCAGCGCGGGAAGAAGGCGTCGGGGTTGGCCTGGGCGTACCAGGGCAGGCTCCTCATGTTCAGGCACAGCCCGATCTCCAGAGAGAGCGGAGAGTCAGGTGCCACCCTCCCCACCGCCTTCCGCCGCCCGCCCCCTCCCGCACCTGCGGAACGCCCCCCCACAGCCCCGCCCACCCTGGCACGGGGCCCTGGGCCTCCGGCTCATCCTGAGGGCACAGGCGGTGGGCAGGTGGGAGGGGCAACCACAGCCGAACGCGCACTCAGCCTCGGGGACACCATCTGTGGTTCCAGGGACCTGGGGGAACCTGCACCCGGGGCCCAGCTGTCGCCCATGTGGAAGGAAGCGGAGCCCCTCACGGCCACTCGGCGGGGTCTTTGCAGGGAGCCCAGCCTGACTGGGGCGCCCACAGTATCGCCCTCACTGCACAGGAGGCCATGCCCTGAGCCTTGGGAGGACGCAGGGGGCTGGGCCCCCACACAGAGCCACGGGCAGCGTGGCCTCGTCCCCCCTCCTGTGTTGTCCTTGCCTGTTGAGGGGATGGCCCCTCGTCAGGGAAGCCCTCTACCCACCTCACCCAGCGGGACCTGCAGGCCCCTCCCCTGAGCCGGAGCCCAAGGGCAAGTGGGGGACAGCCCCCCTGTAGGAGGGGCCGTGGGGCTGGAGGGTGAGGGAGGATGTGATGGGCGTGCAGCCTCTGTGTCCCCGTCCCTTGCAGAGCCCCCTGTCACTGTCCCTGTAGCTACAGGTCACCACGCAGGTGAGGGGGGGCCCACCCCTCCTCAGGCCTGGAGCCCCTCCCGGGACCCAGAGCCCCTCCCCGGGCCCAGAGCCAGGGGTCCAGCCCCGCCTCAGACTCGGGGCTGTGAAACCCACAGGAGGCGCTTTCTGTGGGCCTCAGGGGCACCCAAGGGACACGGAGAAGGTCACCCCGGGGGACACGGGAAGAGGGTCTCCCCGGGGGACACGGAGAGGGGGCACCCGGGGGGGGCGCTTGGGGGTCCAGGGTGGTGGGTCCAGAGCTGCTTGCAACTTGTGGACATTTGGCACAGTGTGGTGTTAAGCCGGGGGTGGTGGGAGGAAGCCCGAGGAGAAACCCCAAGGTGATGGTCACGGGGGGCTCCCCTCCCCACGCCCCCATGATGCCCC